ATTTAACTTAGGATAAATCTTCTTTCTTTTGTGTCCATTTTCCTTTTTGGACACTCTTCACCCAAAGATTTCTTCTAGGAACTATCATTGTTTGGAAGGATGTAGAGGTGGGTTTGTCGCCTTCAAAATAAAAGCCACAGATGTACAGAGTTTGTCAGACTCTGTTTCTGATTGTGAGTGGAGGACGCTCACAGAGCGGCACATCTGAGCTGCTTCCTGTTGCCTTTCACTGAGTTCGACTGGAATCAAAGCGACAACAGGAAAGCGGGCGAGAACCGGTGGTTTGAGTGTTTCTGAAGGATGATCCTGATGAAGACGAGCAGGAGGCGGACGCCCCGGGCGCCCTGCGCTTTAGCTGCGAGGAAAGCGGCACGCCCGCCGCTAAGACGAGACAATAAGGGTAAACGCACGGACTCATCAGCGGAGGACAGATCGCAGTCGCAGCCTTATTCATCAGGGTAATTAGGCAGGGGAAGAGATGCGGGACAAGTGGCTAGCAGCACTGATGAAAGCTCATCAGCAGGCTCTGTTCAGAGCCGCGGTCACTGATTGGTGCTTTGGCTATCATTGCCTGGAAACTACTTCAAAATAAAGGACCGTGCTCAGCTGAATGCCTATGAAATGGGCTTAATTGGCTTATGAAGGCAGACGGGCACGGAAATGGTTTTTACTTTCGCTAACAGTCTTTTCCCCATTCTGGGAATGTTGCTGCACAGATGAGTGTTGTGAAGGAAGCTGCTCTTACCTCGTTTGGTTTAACAGTGATAATCAATAAAATGTCAGGACACTCAGACTTCCTACCCTGACCCTCTGCCTTAGAAATCTCTCAATCTGTTCACTTCTAGCGAAACTTTCTTCAAGGATGAAAATATGTATTTTTTTCTGGGTACCGAGTTTCTTTTCAGTTAATTGTAGCATGAATTCAAAAATGCGTTTGGTAGAGAGATAGTTCAAGACTTCTTACGCCTCCCGGAGGAATCAAACAGCAAGTAATTATTTCAGAAATTTAACGACAAAAAAAACCCCTGAAGTATTTCAGAGAATCGGTCTGATCAAGAATCAGACCGATTCTATGCATCTTCCTCAAAATTAAAAATAAAATGAAAAAGCAGGTTAAGGCCAAATGAACGGATTGTTTTTGTATTTAGCTGACACACATAGCTCCATAATCCAAAAGAAATGGCTAAACACCTCATTTTAATACAGTAGGGGTATTAAGTTGATCTTTCTTTTTAAATATTTTGAGGATTTCTCCCAATCCTTGCCCACATCGTGTTCCACCGCACGCCTTGGCTCGTATCTCTGATTCAACCCGACACTTCAACCTCCGCTCGCCAAGAGTCTTACTCCTCCATTACGCTGAGAGCTTCTTCTTCTTTTTCTTTTTTTTTTTTTTTTTCCTTCCAGTGCCAAGAGATCTGTAGCAAAAACGCCACACCAGAAGCAAAACATGACCTGACCATATGGCAGTGGGGCCCTCGGCAGGCTTGCGCGCGCATAAAACGGCTTGGCGGGGGAGCAGAGCGCCCGGCGGCGCCGTGCGGAACATACAGAATACCAGAAACGGGAGATAAAGGCTCCAGATTGGGGCCCACTTGTAAAATGCACCCAAGCTCTGATTGAAACCAAGAACTTTGTGGCAAATTAATGTGAAGCTTGCCCAAAAAAAAAAAAAAAATATTGAAAGAACGCAGCGTCTCGAAGTAAAATTACTAATTATATTGAATTTATTATTTGTTCTCTAAAATAAGTTATTACTCAAAATATTGCTCGACTCAGCAGCCAAACGGTGTCAAGTTCAACTATTCTAGGTCTCGTCATTTTTGCAGTTCATTCAAAAAAATAAAATAAAATATAATCAGAAAACCTTTTTACTTAACATCTTTGAATAATTTGACTTTTGGAGCTGGTGCTCCTCTGACCACAGTTCATTTGTTTTAATTCCAGGTTTTATGATTCAGCTCAATTTTCCCGTTTTGAATTTTGTAACATTTGAACTTTTACACAAACATATTGCCAAATTAGATCAATATCATCATTCAATTGTGTTTAAAATTGATGAAGAATAACATTTGGAATTAGTTGTCTTTTTTTGTGTGACTATTTTATCCATTTAGTTTTTGTGTGGGTTTTTCATCTTTTTTTTTTTTTTTTGTCTTTTTTTGCATGTCAGGCCTTCCATAGAGCATCAATTAGTTTGACGTTGATTTGAGAACAGCTGTTAAAAACACTCCCCGCTCCGGTACAGGCCCTGAGCATCCACCAGCGATGCGTAGAGCTGGTTTTTTACGATGACCTGTGAATCAAAAGGGAAGCCGATCCGTCCTCTGTGGAAACCTGGAGTTGTGGAGTTATAGCCGGTGCTGGAGTGCCGCAGCCGGCCGCGGACCCAGTAATGAATGGCCACCTGGTCCAGGCTTGTGGAAGAGTTAGCGCCCCTGCTTGGACGGACAGCAATTTGTGTGCTGGAGTGCGGCCGCTGGCATTTACAGGAACATCTGGGGGCCGAGTCGGGCCCTGACAGAGGGACGGCTCTCCAGAAAGTATCAAAATCCATTATTTCTGCCATTACCCAAAGGTCCCAGGCGGGAAAGGTAGTTCAGTTTGTCATTTTTGACTTTTTCTGCTATTTACTTTTTCGGTTGTCTTGGGAACGTGAAGCCTCTCCAGCACTTGTGCTAAGTCAATAATGTCCCTATTACCACCTGCTGTCCTGCTGGACAGTGGCTGGACCTGCAAATCATCTCCTTATATTTATCGGTTCACCTGTTTTACGACAAGATCGTATGTCACAGAATGTTTTTTTTTTTTTAATAAAACGTCATAAAAATTCATTTTAAATCAAAGGAATTGGAGAGATTTCATTTGGTTGTGACATTTCCTGCAATGCAGTAGGAGCTGGGTCCAGAATCTAGAGGTGGAAAAACTATGATAGAGTGCAGAAAACTATTAGTTTGAAACAAAACATGAAGTATTTGTGCAGTAATGTCGACGAAGCGACAGAAGCTGCATCGACTCACCGGGAACACCTGCTGAGTTTGGAGTTCCACCTAAACTCAGACATGGTCCTTCGGAGCTGGCTTGAGGTCACCTCGGGTCACCCATCCGTCTCGCGCCGCATCGTCTCTTCTAAGAGCGTTCTTTGCGTCGTTTTGAACGTTTCTGCTCGTAAACGGGGGGGCGTGCGGTGATGGATGCTCGGCGCTGACAGGAACATGATTACATGAACCGGGTGCTGCAGGCCGATCGGCACGCAGACGAAGCGCCATGTCACCTCTAAAGAGGCTGTGAATGAATGTCCCTGTCTCCACCAAGGCCCACTTCCTTAATCAGGGTGTCGGATGGTAATGATTAGCTTCCCGTGTTCGGTTTCCCCGAGCTCGCCGAGGCGTCCGCATAATTCATACGCCGTTAATAATCTGCCCGGAGAGACAATGCCCTGCTTTCCTTTCCGAGTTTATCCGTCTCTAATCTGAGCCGCGTTCCAACTTATTTGAAATTAAATTTCATTTATTATGACAAGTGCTTTCCTGGAATAAGGCTTCGTGTCGGAGGATGCAGGGAATGCGAGGTGATTGCATCTAAATCCCCTCCCTCCGCCCTCTTCTGGAGCTTTAGCGGCGCGCCGGGTTGCAGCTGCAGAGGAAGCGGCGACGGCGGTGGATCTCCCGCCGCAGGTCACGGCTCGGGAGGGAGGTGGATTACCGCCGCATCATTATAGTCAGAGTCTGTGTCCAAAACCTGGATTAGTAACATAGAGAGGGATTAGGCTTTATTATCCTACTCTGGCATCTGTTAAGGCCACCGGTCCTTGAGAAAAACATATTTTAGCTGTTTCAGCCTGATCTGTACGGGGATCCTGCCTTTACGGCGGCGGCGGCGCTAACCTTCCTGGAAAGTCACATGGTTCAGAAATCCGCTTTCATTAAGCAGCTGTTGTTGTTCTGAGCCGCAGACACAAACCTTCGTGTGTTCTAATGGGATTTTATGCCAGGGAAAAAAAAAAGTTTTTATATTAATGTGAAATATATGTCAAAGTAAAATCCAGTACAGAAACCAACCTATGGGAACCCTAGAAGAGGGGGTGTTGAAAGTGTGGGTCAGGGGCCGATTGCAGTACCTTGAATGATTTTGTGCGGCCCTGAACGACAATTTAAGAATGGCAACTTAAAGAAGTGATGCAGGCGCAGGAATCATATCACTCTGCTTGTTTCATCAATATATTATGTCTTTAAGTCATTGTCAAGCAACTAAAATTCTTTTAAAAATGTTCTAATTGATCAGTTTTGATCAGGTTGTTAGACCTACTGGGTCATCTGGAACAAAAGCAACCCACCAAGTTACCAACTGAGCGACTTCTTAGGCAAATCAGTCTCTCAAGAGTTTTAAAGATCACTCTCAACACCAGAGCTGGTCCAATCCACACAATTTCAATAAAATGCGTTTGAGTGGTTTGGCATCTGAAAACAAAAAAAAACCCCAAAAATCTGAAAAGACGCAATCTGTAAGAAGAACCAGCCTTTAGTTGTAGGAAATTGAGTGTGTTTCAGATGAAAGTCAGCAGATCCTCTACATGCATCAGTCTCCTGTCTCCGCCTGTCGCTCGCCTCCCAGACTGAGGAACCCTGCGGCTAAATGAAGTCGCTTAATTTTCAAATTACGCAATATATTCTCCTTAAAAGCTTTTGTCGTTCAGCTTGCACGTGAAACCCACCCAGCAGCCTTTAGTTGATTAGTCTCTTTATTCCGCCCATCAGTGTTTGTGGACGTGACATTGAATTACGGCGCGCATTTGTCAATAGCATTTACCTTCACGCTCAGACGCGCTTCAAGGGAACGCCGCTTGCGACGCGGGGCTCCCACACAAAAGAACCATAAGAGTTAACCTTGAAGTATTGATTTCCTGCCACGGTGTACATGTGCCATAAATCCGCCATAAATCCGCGGCTCTCTGCTCATTTTTCTTCCTGTCTCCCTCAACCTTTTCCCTCCCCGTGCAGAGATCCTGAGCGGCGGCGTCTACGTGGACCAGAACAAGTTCCTGTGCCACGCCGACACCATCCACTGGCGCGACATTATCAAGAACCCCCAGGCGGAGCTGTTGGTGGTTCCGTCCAACAACAGCAACAACGGATGTGAGTAAAGTCCAAAAGCCTCCCTCCCCGCTCCACCCCGGACCCTCATGAACATTCCTGACCTATCGCTTTTATTTCATTCTGTTTGCCTGCTGGGGATTTGGAAGCGAAATCACTTGGTGTTAGATCAACATGTGAACCTTTCCAGTGGGGTTGAAACCGGCGCGGCTTTTGCAGCAAAGCCCGTGGAGCCGCTGTCGGCTGGGCTCTTTGTAAATCTCAATAAAGCTGACAGCTAGTTTGAAGTGGCGCGCTTCCCTCTCTGTCCGGTGGACATTTGGTGTCAGACGAACTGGCAGTTGAAGACAGACTCTTGCAAACTTTTCTGCTTTCTGTGTGTGTCACCCTTTGGATGAGATGATAGGATAAACTATCAGGTTTGTCTGGACAATTTAACTTGAATAAATGATCCTCACTACTATGACCACCTCTACAGAGTGAGACACAAACTGGAGTTAGCAAAATTCTGCCTATAATAAAATCAATATGGAAGGGGCTTTATGACACTTAGAGATATTTGTCATGAGTTAAGAAAACATTGAAAAAAGTTGCCAAGCTTCAGGTTCATTCGAGTCCCAAAGGGACAAATAAAAACGCAAAATAAGACATACAACCAGACCTCATGGAGAGCAGGTTGCTGAAAGACCAAGAAAACCATTTTGGGAGAGACCTTTAGATGCAAAATGTGTGAAACATTGTTATTTTGTTGATTAGATGGTGCTGATGGAGGCGGCGGTGGTGGGAGACGGGATGGGGGGGGTAAAGCACTAAAGTGTGGAGGAGGTGGGCCAACAAAAATGACAAGAGAGTGCGTGGGAGTGGAGGTTGCCAAATTGGCGCCCGTTGCCAAGATGTAGTCAGTATTTAACATTAGGGACCTGTGGTGGGAGTGGCTGAAGGGGCCGGGTGACAATCGGCGGCGTTGTTCCACTCACTGTGTAATTAACCCATAGTCAATTAAGTCTTGATGATGGGCCACAGCCAGATGAGCGCTGTCAGGTCCCACTTTCCCTGACAGAAAGGGAGTAGAGGGCCTGTTTTCACGCTCCTCTTCCTCACCGACCACAACCGCTCTATTGTCTCGTCAGCTCAGGAGTTTCCACAATTGTGTCCCTGTCACCAGTCAGGAGAAAGTTTCGGCGCCGCGCTCCCGCCCGCGACGTGTCGCTTTCTTCGGAGTTGGTCTGACGCGTTTGCTCTGTTTTTTTTTTTTTCCAGGCAGGCGCTGCCATCGCTCCTGCATCGGACGCTGCTGGGGGCCTCAGGAAAGCCAGTGTCAAACATGTGAGTGTGGACAGTTTGTATCTGGATCTTCTCCCCCTGGCAAACCCAGACCTGGTTATTACTAAAAGACTTGATGCACATATGATTTTTGTTTTTTTTATCTTTAGCTCTCTAGACTTTTTGCCTTTCAAAAGTTTTAATTTACTCACTGAGTCACAGTCTGCCAAGTAGACCAAAGACAACCACTATCTGGGAAATTCATTAGATACCCTATATTATCAGGCTCTCATATGGGTATTAGGAGGATCAGTTTAAAGTGGCTCCTTCTCCTCATTCAGAGAAGATGAGCATCAAATGTGACCGAACAGAATATATGAGGGCCTATTTTTACCCACATGGCCCCCATGTGCAAATGTTTGGAAACTAGCATGTGTATGTGAATCCTACGTGGATGGTTTTCAGGATGAGGTGTGGGACCCATTTGGAACCTTTGTAAGCCTTAGCTGGGTCTCAGACGGGTCTGACGGACACCGATTGAAATAACTCCATGGACATGAAACCTAAAAGGTATTCAGGGCGGCTGCACCTGAGTACAACGTGGAACAAATGAAAATGTTGCCTGGCATTCGAACGGAGTTCTTGGATCTCCAGGTTTGACCGTAGAGTTAAACTATCTGGCCAACTGTCGTCGGCCAATCAGTGAACGCAGTCGAATCACCAGGGATGGAACCGCACAGGATCCGCCAATGGAGACGAACCGGCCAGTACTGGCAGAACCAGTCCTACTCGACACGTAGGACCAAGTGGGGTTATAAGTCATTCTTGATTAAATCTGTTGTGATCGCTCAGAAAACAAGCAAACGAACCACTGTTTCAGAGAGGATTTTCTTGCTGCTCTTATTGAATGATTAAAAGCTGATAATTTAATAAACCAATATGTTCAAGAAGTGAACCCATGCGAGTGCCAGCGGTTTGTAGAATGAATGATGTTTTTCACAGATTAATGAACTGCAGAGGCTTGTTGTTGTTGCTGTTCCACATCTGGAGCGTTACGTTAGCAGCCCAGCAGTTATTAATTCCTCCAACCTTCTGATTGTTGGCTGCGGCGTTCTGTCTGGTGTGAAACGACTTTTTACCTCCAATGTGGCACAGAAAACAGCATTAAGAAAACGTTAATGTCTAAAGATTAGGACACAATCTGAGCTACGATACTTAAAAAGATAGAGAATAAACCAAGGAATAAAACTTTGAATTCTTGCAATAATTGGCTGAAAATGGAGAAATGGAAACTCCTGGCCTAGTCAAAGTTAACAAAACCCTTTTACATCTCACAGCTAAAAGTGAGCTAAAGATTTTGATCTTTTCCTCTGCAATAAAGCATATTTTGGCTGTAATTTTTTGTTTTTCTTTAATGAACAAAAACTGGTTAAATATTCTAGAATATAATAAAAACATGAGATAATCACATTCTCACAGGGTTTCGTAGCAACAAAAGTTTTTGGCAACATTGCTTCTGCTTGGCAAATAGAAAAGAAAAAAAAATTAAGCTTCAGCATTATTATGGCAACAGATAAACACAGTTTTCTTGTTTTCATGGCAAGCAGAAGTCTTTTCTTTCCCTTTCTCGGGAGAAGCTGCTGCTTTCCCTGCAGTTCCGACATGCCACCTCTGATTCCTACCTGCCAAGCACAATTTTCAGCTGATCGGTTCTGAGCTGAGGCTGGAGGAGGAGAGTCTCCCTGGCAGGTGTTGAGTGAACCAGAGGGCGCCTCACTGGGTTTTTTCCCCCCTCTCTCTCTTTACGTCTGTCTAAGTCTGTAAGTATGTGCTCACAAATCCACTTGTCTCGACCTTTAGGAAGCAGAAGCCGTTCATTTCATTCGTGTCACATAACGGCAGCCGAGGCTGAGGCTGGTGGTGGTGGAACATTGTCTCTTTTGGGAATGTGGGTGTGTGTGCGTGTGTGTCAGACCTTTTAAAATTCGGTCTTCTCGCTTCTTGGGCAGTGACAAAATCGGTGTGTGCAGAGCAGTGTGACGGTCGCTGCTTCGGGCCTTACGTCAGCGACTGCTGCCATCGAGAATGCGCCGGCGGCTGCTCTGGCCCCAAGGACACCGACTGCTTTGTAAGTCTGCTCTCTGATTCTTTAACTTTTGAAACAATCCCCTTTGCTTCCAATGCTTTTACTTAAAGTGTAACCTTGTTGAATAAAATGTTGTCACATTTTATTGGGATAAAACCACCAACTTACATTACTTATGTTGGAATTCATCGAATGAAATATATTGCAACAAATTTCCTGCAAAAGTTATGAGAGGAACCTGGTGAAATTCAACACCAGCAGCAGACAGGTCAGGGAGAAAGTTATGTGGAAGGTAGACATACAACCAGAAACATGGAGGTGCACCTCAACTGAGAAGTGCAAAAAAAAAGACTGTTGAAAGAATGCCCACTGCAAATTTTCCAAAAGCACGTTGGTGGTAGTAGCATCGTTTTTGAGGGCTTATTTTATTCAGCTAGGGAAAGAGAAGCTGATAACGGTTGATACATTTTGGAGGGTCCTGCTACTTGACGCGCTATTGGCTAATGCCTTTCGTTTTTCTTTGCGCCGATTGGCTGAACCTCGAGACTGTAACTATTAGCTTCTTTGGGAGCCCTCAGACTCGTTCTGCTGCGTGAATGGAGGAATATTAAGGTATTTATGGTGTTTGAGTTATTAAATTTAGGCAGGCAGAAGCATCTTTAGAGGATATTAGATATTCACTAGCCAAATATGCATAACTAGCTAGCTACTTTACTAGCTCGCTGGCTAAGTAGCTAGCTTGTGACGTAGCTCGCTGGCGAAGTAGCTAGCTTGTAACGTAGCTCGCTGGCGACGTAGCTAGCTTGTGACGTAGCTCGCTGGTGAAGTAGCTAGCTTGTGACGTAGCTCGCTGGTGAAGTAGGCGTTCACCAGCTCGCTGTTGTGACTTATTAAACTTTTAGACGCGCTAACGGCTGGCAGACTATTAGCTAGTCTAACATTAGCGGCGTATTCATAACTTTGCTTTCTGCCTTAGTTAACACAGAACTTCCTGTCACACTTCAAAATAAAAGTGTCAATATAAATGACCGTTTTAAGAATTAATAGTAGTGATTTTTTTTAGAGATGTTAATTAGTACGGAGGGCTAAATATTTTAAGAAAAATCCATTTTGGTTCCTGAAATAATGGGCAACTGACACGAGCATTAAGAACAAAAAATAAGGGAATAAAATTTCTGTAATATTTCTGCAGCCGGAACTAGCCAATCAGAGTTTGTGGTGGAGAAACGCCCACTTTGAGTCACAGAAAACCCTCCTCCCATAACGCTGCTCCATTCTGCCTCTGTTAGAATGGACAAGTCAAAGTCCAGTTCTAGATCCAATTGAGAATTCATGGCATATCTTGGAAATGTGCCTCAACACGCTTAACCTCCATCTAAGACATTCAGCTTTAATTGCAGCCATATGTCACTTCTGCTCTACTTTGTGTCACTTCTTCAGATTAAAATTAAACCAGTTTGTGGTTGCGATGTGACAAAATGGTATAAAGTGATTTGCCAACGCTCCGTGCTTGCTGACAAACCATTTTACAGGCTTGTAAAAGTTCGACGTTATCAAATTTGGGATTTGGCCTTCCAATTATGATGGTTTTTATCACCCCAACTTCTTTTTTTGTTTTGCAAACTTGCGCGTCGACGGAGTGGATATTGCTGCTGTAACTCAGCCAAAGGCCCGTCCAACTCAATTACCGGCAGCCATGGCCGTCAAGACGCTTAAAGGGGGCTTTATGGGAGAACATTACGCCGTTTATATCATGGCCTTGGATCAATGGCTTCAATTTTTCTCCCATTTGGCATCCGCAGAGACGGGAAGCAGCCGCATGATTCGCATGTTGGAATGCGGCGTAAAAATGATGTGCTGTTGTAATTCTCCTTCCCTCTCTGTGACTGATGGCTCTCACCTCACCAGCAACTCCACACCTTTATGGGAGGAGATGCAAGCATTTCAAGTGTGTTCGTTTATTTAATTATTTTCCTCAAGCCGCAAATGATCAATACACTAAAAACAAAAAATACAGACTGAAATATGGCATTTAAATTCTATTTAGCCCCAATTTATAACTATTTTTTTGGTTATATCCAAAAATATAAGCTCAGTTTAAACTGGGTGTTTGCCCAGGGCAGCATTGAAAAGGAGGTCCATGCATACCACATTTAAAATGATAACATTTCATTTCCCTGAAGAGGTTTTCTACTCTTAACTTCCTCTTTCTTTTTTACCTTTTGGACAACTGTTTTGGTGTGTAACCATGGCAACAAGGTATTGTTTTTGGGAACAGCTAATTAACATCTTCTAAACTTAAATATTCCTTGAAATACGCCTCCGAATCCCAGAAAAGTTAAAAAGAAAGCTTCACGGATGAAGAATCGTTTCCTCCGGCGTCTCTCCTGCGGCTTCCTATCCATGCGACCAGACAGAAATGGAAACCGGTGCAGCAAAAGCAAAGGATGTTGATTAGCAGAGCTAGCTAACAGCTGATGATGTTGTCAGGATGTGTTGGTATCATAAAAAGCCAAGGGCGGGCCACATTCGGCCTGCGAGCCTTGAATTTGACGCACGTGGCATAGAGACGGATTTTATGATGTTGTAACAGCCACTGCTGCCAGCAGATCACAGTGACCACACTCTGACACATGTATTATTTTGCAGGCCTGCACCAACTTCAACAACAGCGGCGCCTGCGTCACCCAGTGCCCCCAGCCATTCGTCTACAACCCCACCTCCTTCCAGTTGGAGCCCAACCCCCGAGCCAAGTACACCTACGGAGCCTTCTGCGTGAGGAAATGCCCCCGTAAGTCCGAGGCGCTGTTGACGCTCATGAAGGTGTTAATAAAAGTCTTCCTGAAGACGCGAGCATGCTCTCATCTCTGCTGAAATTACACTCCAGGCGATTATTGCGAGACAAGATAAGTGGCTCCAGCCAAAACAAATGGTGTATCTCAATTAGCTAAGTTGCCGCACCATCTGGTTGGACTGATGTCGGCGAAGAAGCAAAGAGCAGCTCTCTGTTCTCGGCGGCGGAGGGTCTGCGTCGCAGGAGCAATTAGCCCAGCGTGAATTAAAAGTCAGGCGACAGATTGCATATTCGGAATCCACTGATCATCAGATGAGATTTATCATCCCTCAGCTCTGAGTCTGTGTTGGCGGCGTCTCGTTTCTGGCAGATAACTTCGTGGTGGACCACAGCTCCTGCGTCAGAGCGTGTCCCAGCAACAAGATGGAGGTGGAGGAGAACCGCATCAAAATGTGCATCCCATGCACCGACATCTGCCCTAAAGGTGAGCCACGTTGTCGTCCAGTTCTGGAGTTTCTGTGATCTGAAAATTGTTTTCTGGGGAACGTTCCTCTCCGGAGGAGAAATGCGGCGTCAGTGAAGGTCGCACGTTTGATCCCGACATCAGTCGGAATGTTAATTAAGAGAAAATAGCCTCCTAATGAGAAGCGGCTACCTGAAGTCGTTTTGCTACAGTGGCGTCAGCTAACGGCCCGAAATACCTGATGTGGAATTAAGCGCCATTTGCTCAGTAGTGCAGATTATCCTCTTTATCATGTTGTTCCCCACAAAGGTAACCAATCTGCCCTTTCTCTTCAGAGAGGAAGGCAATAATGTTTTCCTGCAGGCGGCGCGCGGCGGCCGCCCCGTCAGCCGATTGGCCGATCCCCTGATTACATCGTCACGTCACAGGGACGGGTTAATGAGGGATAGCCCAAGGAACTGTGGGAAATGATAACAAATTAACATTTCAGATATGGAATTGGCCGGTATAAATCACTATCAGAAAGTGGTTACACCACTTAATGCCAGCCCTATTCATCATCCCTCCCTTCTGCCCGTGTCAGAAACACTTGGCTCGCACCGGGCTGAGTGTAATTAATGCAGATGTAATGAATTCATTATGGAGAGGGAATGGATGGAGATTGGCCCGTGCTTTCATCAAAAGAATTCAAATGCGTGCAGCAGGGCCACGGCCCCGCCGGAGCACCAAAAGACTTTATTTTGATGAAAGAGAATCGGGGGGGGAAACATTGCAAGGGAGAAGAAAAATGGCTTCTAGCGGTTCTTACAAGGACACCTCGGACACCTCGTCCGGGCGACGGCAGCTACCGGATTGACGGGCGGCTGTGTTTGCGTTGTCAGTGTGCGACGGCATCGGGACGGGCAGCCTGCAGACGGCTCAGACCGTGGACGCCAGCAACATAGACAAGTTCGTCAACTGCACCAAAATCAACGGCAATCTCATCTTTCTCATCACCGGCATCAAAGGGTGAGTAACAAGATCAGTTATTTAGAAATTTATGTATGACCGGAATGCAGAAAAAAACCCAACAGAATTCCAGCCAAACAAGAAAAATAAAACTGACTGCAAATGATCAAGCACAGCGATGTAGGAGTGATGCTGAGGACTTGTTTTTGCAGCCAGAGTCATGAAGCTCTCTGTGAGAAGGTTTGGATCATTCCTGAAGGCAGCGCCGCAAACTATTGAACCTTAGTGTGTACTTACTTTATAGAACAGGGTGCTTTGCTAGTTTCTGTTTGGATCTCGTAGAAGATGGAGAGATTTCCACCGGATCGAGCAACAGACATGGATTATACTTTATGTATAGGTTTATATCAGTGGGGAAGCTGCAGAACCACAATGTTCCAGCTGCCAGGCACGGTGGTGGAGGAAGTGATGGTCTCTGAAGTGACTGCTGTGTGTTTCATAGGGACATGTACCACGGCATCGGACCTTTGGACCCGCAGCGTCTCAGCGTCTTCCGCACTGTCAAGGAGATCACAGGTGACCCGTTTGGTTTGTGTTCACTGTATGTGTGTGTGAAGGTTTCCAGAGTGTGTGTGTATGTTTATGCATTAGCTCTTACAGCCCTGAAGGGGCTTGTCTACAAACCGCTTTTCTTCATATTAAACCACAAACCAAACGGCTAATGGAGTGAAACTGCATTTTCATTATGAAAACACCAGCAATAAAAAAGAGCAATGGCCGCTCCACCCCCCGCCATTTCCTGCTCCGTCCCTGTTAATGTCATTTCCATAGAGGCTGATCTGATATAATCTGTCATTAAACGACAAGTGCAACCAGACTGAATGTGCAAAGTGTGAAATCTATTCTTATAATTAGTGCTGGCTGCTTTCTCTCTTTGTCTCCACCTAAGAAATAAACCCTCCTTCCACTTCCCCTTTCATCATCCTCTTATAAGAAAGACAAAGACAAAGCAGCGGTGAACATCTGAGGAAAGTGTAAAGTCAAAGTCTGTGTGGTGTGTTCTCAGGATACCTGAACATCCAGTCTTGGCCTGAAAATATGACGGATCTGAGCGTTTTCTCCAACTTGGCGACCATCGGAGGCCGATCTCTTTATAGGTAGGATTCAACTGTGGCGACTCCGGTACCGGTGGTACCTGGTATCACTCTCTGCTCATTGGTTATGCAACAAAAACAGAATTAGCACAAGAAGTAAAGTTTTTTTTAACATGAAGTTGTTCTTTGTGGTAACAATGTTTCTTGGTGATGCATCAAGTAAGGCTGACGCTGCTGTTTTAGTAGAAGTGAGAAATACTGCCACCTGCAGGTGGGAGTAAACAGTCACTTAGATCCAATGTTTCTCACCATTTTTGACAAAAACTTGCAATAAACTCACATTTAAGTATTAGTGGAATAAAGTGCAGGGATTTGTTTTTTTTGGGCAAGAAACTAGTGGAACTGATTGATGTAATTTGGCAGCAAACACATAAAAACTGCTTTGATCTGATTGATAAAATAATATCTTGGTGGTTCGATTTATGCGTCCCTTTATAGTCTAGAGGGATACATTAAAAGCGATACTGGGCCGGATTTGGCACATGATGATGATGATGGCACCAGAGTGGCCAACACAACCATGAGCCGTTCTCTCCTCTTGCAGTGGGACTGGCATTTCTCTGCTGATCCTGAAGCAGCTCTGGATCTCCGCCCTCCACTTCCAGGCCCTGGACGAGATCAGCGCCGGGAATGTCTACATCATGAACAACACCCGCCTCTGCTTCTACAACACTGTCAACTGGACGTCGCTCTTCAGGACCTCCAGCCAAAAGGTCGTGGTCCGCAACAACCGGGACCCCAAGGAGTGCAGTGAGTAGCTGCATTTGTGGTTTTCATTCAGCGGGTAGAGAATCCAGAAGTTTGACTACAGAGTAAAAAACGGTGGATAAGTATTCTGAAATTCCTACATTTGATCTAAATGATTTGATCTGTTTTGTGTCCATCACAGTTGGCCTCTTGTGACCGGATATTCCCCGCAGCGGAGCGGCTTTGCCGTCAACATTAAAACCAATTTTCTGTTGGAGTGAAGCTGAAGGCAGCCGCTCTCCGCTTTATTAAACCTGGAGGAAATTATAATCCAATTGGTTCCTTAAATTTGTTTAAAGCGTTCCCTGATAAACAGCTGCTTTAATGAACTTTCCTCAGAAACTCTGCAGCCAATTAGCATTCATTCAAAGGTTATTAAAGTGGTCAGAGAGGAGGGGGTTTGTTTCCAGGCTCTGTATCAATATAAACTACAGGTATGAGGAAGAAAAAGAGACAGTCTGGCTAATTTGGATTCTTTTATATATATATATATATATATATATATATATATATATATTGAAATGAGCGTTTTAATAACTCTGATCTTTACTCAGCCCTGAATAGGATGGAAAAAAAGGAGGAAAGTAAAGATGGTAACCGACTAAACTTTAAAGACTCTCACCCCTGTTGGTGATGCGTTCAAAAGACAGGCATTCCATAAATCGTCAAGGAGACGCACAGAGACTGTAGCCTCTACGCATGGTAGACTCATTCTCATCATTTTAATTATCTACAGCTTAACTTGAATAAATGTATTGAAATTAGAAAATGATTTTTAAACTCCCTTCGCTTTCCCATCAACAAGTATAACAGGAGGTTTATGTGCAATTTGGAGGTGTGTGCACTTCTTTTCTGTTTCATTGTGGACCACCTACTGTGATAAAAGATGAATTGATATATTTTTAAACATTTCTAGTAGATGTGAACACCGTTTACTGTGTATTCATACACAAACATGAGAATGTTTCTGCACCGCCGTCTCTGGTAGAAGTATATGGGGGGCATTTAGTGCAAAAAACTAACTGAGCAAACTTTTTTGTGTGTTTTTGGAGTTTTGGTTTCAATACCAGTTGCATTAAATACTTATTTCACAGAAAAATCTCCTGCTCACTTTTGAACATAAGGAGTGTGTGTGTGTCTTTTCCCGTCCCAGCTGTCTTTGTTAGTCTAACAGCCTTTTAAGCTCTTCACTCTGTCTATAGTTTGGTTTTTGATGCTTTTTAGCGTTGCGGTTGTTGTTTTCTTGTAAAGCACTTTGTTCCAGCCTCTGCTGTTGGAAACGGGCTTTATAAATAAATATGGCCTTGACCTCGGATGAAAACGATACACTGTGTTCCGATAAAGTCAAAACCTACATTTTTGTCGAGCACAAACACAAACTGAAACGCCCGGGTCCATGGCAACAGGATCAGTTTTCGACTCTTACCAGCTGGCTGTGAAAGGCCTTATTCAGCTTCACTGTGAGTTCAAAGCCCTGAGGTGGGTTCAGTTATTACTACGTTGTTTGATTTGATTGTTTTCCACTCTAGGTGAATAGAGATAGATCTTATGGGTCCGGCAGATCATTTCTGTCTGAGTTTGAAACTGGATCCAGAGTTCCTGGAGTTCTGCGTTGGGTTTAGGTGCCGAGCGAAGCATTTCAGAGGATTGCTTGTTTGCATTTCGCATAATCACAAACACCCTTCACTAGACCGCTGAATTATAAGCTGGCTTTAGCAGATGAGAAAATCCAACAAACCAAATGTCTTGTGCAGAAGTGGAGACATCTAGAAAATCTTCAGAAAAGTTTAAAAATCTTGGCGTCCTGTTTCAAAGTTAATCTTGAAACAGCACTCATTAACGGGTTAATGAGTCCTGTGTGTGTGCGTGCGTGCGTGTGTGTGTGTGTTAGGGCTTGATCGATTGGAGCTAATACAGGCCCTTATTAGGCTGAGCCCTACTGTCTGTCATTGACTGCTCTGCTGTTGACAGAGGGTCTGGCCCCCCTCCAGGCGGCCCCCAGGGACTTCTTATGTCACTCACCGGATGGGGGACCAGTGAGTCCAATGAGGTGGATTGATGGCTGCGGTTAGACGGGAAAGAAGAAACGGGCGCCCAAGATTTCTGGATTAGGCACTCTCTGCAGGCGAAGGTGTCGGGAATACCGATGAATCCCACACTGCTAGGCTGGAAAAATGACTCCTTCATGTCTTTACTCCTCTACAGCTCAGCACCGGATGGTGTGCGACCGCATGTGTTCGGACGACGGCTGTTGGGGGCCGGGGCCCGACCAGTGCCTCTCCTGCCGCTTCTTCAAACGAGGCCGCACCTGCGTGGAGTCCTGCAACTTGTTTGACGGGTGAGAACAGAGTCCAAAACACTAAGAGAGACAACTGCGTAGATCGTCCGCAGCCGACCATTATGGTTTATGAAGCCACATTCATTTCTCTCAGCATGTGACAAGCAGCTTAAGTTGATTTAAGCTGCTTTGATACACTAACAATGAAGCCAAAACATCCTCAAGGGCTCTGGAGGAGGAACCTCTAATTGCAGATTGGTGTGAATGTAATGAAGTGAGCCAATAAGGAATTTCACAGTGTGAACCGTCAAAGGAGCATTTGGCAGGATGTTACAGCCATCCACTAAAATCAATTGAAATGTATTGTTGAAGGATTAGATTGAAAAAGGCCCGTTTGGACCGACTGAACGAATGTTTGCGGCTCTGAGCTGAAGGCTGACTGCAAGGCAGCGAAGAACTGACTGCTTCATGTCTGTTGTGCTCATTGAAATGTCAGATTTTTTGGATTTTATGTCTGTTTAAGGTTGCTGTAAAGAATCTGAAACACATCTAAGTCTGGAGTTTGACTAGGCCACTTCACACCTGTGAATTTTCTTGTTGTTTGTTTGCATGCTTGGAATCGCGTTCCTTGATACGGTGCTCTACATGCACTTTAGCTAATCCAAAGTTTTGGTTCAGGACTTCAAACAGTTAGACATTTATATTCATGCTCTTATTTTGAAGTGGTTGAAGACTGATATAGAAGCAGTAATTTTTTTGATTGGAATCAGACCAAATAAATGAACCAGAGAATTAGGTTTATTACATGTGATTCCTGATTCACTACTGCTTTTTTTTCCCCCTTAGACAGCCAGGTTGGTTTGGAGTATTTTAACACGTTTGTGCACCAACAAAACCTTCTGTTCTAGATGTTCCCCTTGAGTGGATCCTGGCTGAGTGGAGGAATGCTTTGCATCGGGTCTCTCAGAACCATCCGTCTAAAATAAAGCTGCGCTAGCAGCGCCTGCCGAGAGATAAATCAGCCTTTTTTTCCCCTTTTTTCTTGCACTGAGGCAAAAGCGGTGATGTCAGGCCTGTGTTTCCCTCTGGAGAGGGTTTATGAGAGCATGCTACCCTTGGTCATGTTGACTTGTTGTTGGTCCTTTTTCCGCTGCTGTTTGTGTGAGGGAGGCTTTGAAGTCGCCGGCGGGGGGGGGGGGTGCACAGCTCAGAGCGAAGCTTTAAAGAAGACGAGGGAGAGGCTGATGGCTGGGAGCTTCTGAAGCACGCTTGCTTCCTTTACTGTAAATACAGTCAATGCATGATACTGCCAGGAATATTCATAAATCTCTGCTTGTTGATTTGTGTCACTGGCCTGAACTGTCTCATTAAAATATGTCCAATTTAAAATCAACAAACGCCTGGTGACAGAAAAATGCCCAGATATGTATTGAAGCTCATTTTCATATGCAGCATTCAGGCAACATGAGTGGCTTTGTGCTGGTGGTTATGTACAGTTCAGGTGCATCTGAAAAAATGAGATTATTGTGAAAAAGTTCAATATTTTTTTGCCATTGCTATGTTATATTATTTCATTAAGCAGTGAAATATTTCTTGTAATATTGTTTATTATGGCAAATTTTGTGTCTCCAAAAAAGTATAATGTTGTAGAAAGTTACATTTTGGAAGTTCATGGTTTCCCACGCTAATGAACTCAAAACACCTGCCTTTATAAAAAGCCTTTCTCAGTCTGGGTGTCAATCGTCATAGACACCCCCCACAAAGAGGGGCTGGGGCCTTGATAAGGTATTGTATTGTATCATTCAAGCATATTCATAGAAAATTAAGTGGAAGGAAAAGGTGTGGTCGAAAAAGCGAGAATCACAAACTTGATATTCTTGATTATCAGCCAAAATCCATTCAAGAGAACCAACATGGATTGAGTTCATAGGAATTAACATTCTTTAAAGTAGTCTAACATTTTTGTTCAAATAATTTTTTTTTAGTGACCTTGTGTAATGTTTTTATTTTTTAAGACAATAGATCATCAGTCTAAGTCTGAATCAGAGACAAAGACAAAAAATGGGGAAGAATAGTGAGCGCATATATCCCACTGATGTATTATTCTTAAAAACATATTTGTACAAATATTGCATCATCTGCATAAAGACGAATCCAAATTTTGCCATCCCTAGTCCTTCCTCGTCTATTTTTACCAATTTTTATCTCAATCTTTCTATCTTAATAGCCGTTTCTCTGGATTTCACACCACTATTTTAGGTTATACTGAGTTCACTCCAGATTGGTTTAATATCTTACTTTGTTCTGGGGCTGCAGGAGTCTATATCTCTGAAGAATTTAGCGCACGCTCATTAAAAATGTTTTCAGGTTGGTGATTTTAAATCTTAAGATTCCTCACTCTACTCTTGTTCTGTATATCCATTCTTAATGAGCAACGGCACTAATTCCCCTCAGTTTATAAGTCTGTTGAATAAAACAAAGGCAGAGCAAAGGCTTGCGCGAGAGGGGAAAAGGAAAAGACTTGAGATGGTGTCCGCTGGGGGTTAAGTGAAGGAGGGAGGAACTGGGTAAAGGGAGGTGCTGAAAATGCTTAATTAAAAAAGTTGCTCTGGTGGGTTGACCATGCTCTGGTTCGCTGGATGTTTTGAGGTCTGAATGGTCGGGGCCACAGTCCTGCTTAAATTCCTGCTAAAGCAGGGATAATCCCCCATCAGGTCATTCCCCGATGGGGCCCCTGGCACACACTTTCAGCCGTGAAGAGGGCCAATCAGGAGGAACGGCTTTGACGGAATGGAAATGACCCTGGAGAGCGCCGCCACAGTGGTCTTTGTCTCTCACCCATCCTCCTCCGTGTTTCTTTCCCCATTCAGCCGACAAAAAAAAGATATCTGTCCACCGCCTGGCCTTCTTTTAAATGATTCCCCTGGACACGGCGTCTGGGAGACGAATCTAATTTATTTCTGGAAAAGGGGGAAAGAAAGACAAAGGAGAACTGCACTAACAGCCTGCTTTTGAGTCCTGTGTAAACATTTTCAGCAATGGAATCCGACATGTTGTATCTTTGGATGTTTGAAACAAAGCGCCCCGATTAAAACGAACCAGTGAGGACAGCTCGAAGAAAAGACATTCCGACATCAAAGCTCAGCAAAAGAGAACACTGGGATTTTATCTTCACTTTTATCAACCTTTAATATGATCCCGCTGAACCCAGGAGTGTCAAGAATGTCTCTTTTCTCTTTCGGGAGCTTTCAGAGGTGCTACGTCAAAAAGATTTTCACTTATATTCACCACATGAAAATGAACGAAACCCAAACGGCTGCAAGAGGCGGGAGAGTTCTCGATGTCCGATTGTGTGGAACCGGATCAGGAGGCGGAATCTGAAACCTGGAGCTAAGAAAAACAAACCGATTCATTATCCCGACGAGGGGTCCGACGCCTGGCTCTGGGCGAATCCTCCTCCGAGGGCGTCCGCCCTCCGCGTCGGCCAATCGATCCCTCTGATGTGAAAAGCGGTTTTGATCGGACGCGGTCGCTATCGACAGCAGGCGTCTTCCATCCGCCAGAGACGCCTCGCTTCAAACAGTCATGATAATTCGCTGAATCGGGCAGTGAGAAAAACAGTCAGAAACGTATAGATCGGATGCCAGCACACACACACACACACACGCACGGCTGAACACTGAGGCCTGAGGCAGTGCTGAGCTCCTGCCACTGTAATTGCAGTGTATGTACCCAATATTGAGCTCTATTGTTTACTGTCTCCTCCTTTAGATGAAAACAAAACCAACTATATTGCTTTAACTGGCTGAACAAAGGCTCTGGCAGATCTGCTACAATCTACAGAAAACAGTAACCATCTTTTCATAGCGGGGATAAAGAAGCAAACATGTTTTCTTTTTCGCTTTCAGTCTACATTTTCAAACCTCGTTATCTCGTCCTAATGCGCTCGCTTTGTTCATTCCCTTTCACTCTCTCCAGAAGCGTATTTCTTCATCTATGAGTCTCATGGCTGTTAAAAAAGAAAAAAAGCTGCTTTTGTTTTTTTATTCATCGGTCTTGTCTCTATGCATGTCGGTTAAAATAAGCATCCAGGCTGACCAGACTGTGACAAGCGAAACCGCCAGAAAAAAGACAAGTCGACGGCAGAATACACAGCTGCTACTTCAGTGAACAAGCCAGGCTCATACTGATGTAACAGTCTTCATATAGCCTACTGTAGTGTTCTCCCGATCAATATTTCAGTGTGAGTACACTCAGATCTATAATCCATGCATCTCTGTTTTCATCTTCTCGCCTTCCGTCAGGGAAGCGCGGGAATTCGCCAACGGATCCGTGTGCCTGGACTGCGACAGCCAATGCGAGAAGATGTACGGAAACAGCCTAACGTGTCTCGGCCCGGTAAGACCCGCCGGATCGAACCGGACCGCCTTTTGTTTTTGTGTTTTATTGTCTCAGAACGCACTTGAGGAATGCGGAAATGGACTCCTCTCATTTGTCTGCAAAGATAGTTTCATATCTTCTGAAGTGAACTTATTTTGTTGGAGCCTATCTGTTCTGCGCATGGGGTTTGAGTAAGTGCAGGAGCTGTTTGCAAAGGTGAGTGGAAGGTAATGGGAGAAATGATGAACTACTACTCCTGTTTAGCTCCAGCAGGCGCACATACACGTTCGACACAAGCAACAAAAACGATTATGTCGTAACCTTCACATAAAGTAACTTTGCGAGACTTTCTTCCTGCACTGAGAAAGTTAGCAGGCAGAGTTTACACAAGAGAAAGCGAAGAAACCAGAACTGCAGGTTTCATCGCGTTCCAAGTCCGTCCTAACTCCGCCTCTCCACACCTTCAACTTTACAAAACAGGACAGTGAAGCACCACATCCTCTGTTTATGTTAGACAGTTTCTGTCCTGTTACAAGATAGAAAAAAAAATTAACCACCTATAATAATAGGAAGTAGGAGACATATTAGCTTGCGGCTTCTTGACTGACTTGTGACAACTAAGTTGATGACTAGAGTTTTGGGTTTTTTTGTTGTTTTTTTTAGCTTTAGTGGCCTTTAGTTGAAAGTGATGAAACAGGAAAGTAGGTCATGAGACAGATCGGGAATCGAACCTGCAACAGTTGAGTTGAGGACTAAGGCCTCATTATGTGCAATGTGCTTAACTTCTGCACCACCACAGCACCACCAACTACTAGTGTACATTTTGTTAAAGAATCCTTTTTCCATTATTTTAGCTAACGGCTACCAGACTAAGCCATAAAGTAACAATTGTTTTACTTTTAGCCTTCTACACTGAGTCATTGGACAAATTAGAATAAACGACAGTGAACTGTTGACCATTGAATCATTACATATTCTGTATTTTTTTAATGTATTTATTAGAAAGTTCAAGCTTTGTTTCAATTCACAAACATTTGTCCCCAGCTGCCCGGCCTGGGCAGGACAAAAAATGAGAATATTCAGCCGTTTCCTCCTCTATTCTCAGCGACTCAAAAAGTTTTTCGTAGAATCGGTGCAACATATTGTTGACAGTACACCAAATGTGGACATGATATGTTTATATCCACAATACCCAGGTCCATATTTGCAAAGTTGCATTACGGGGAGACGTAGCTGATGTCCTGCATGGCTGATTCGGGCGAATAAAGTGATTCTGTGTGACTAACCTTTTCCGGCCGCCCCGCGAGAAAAGGAACAAGAGACGGAAAGGAGAGCAGCGCCTCAACACCGTGCGCACGCCGCCGACTTTGAGATGCTGCTCACATCTGAGCAGTAAATAACACCAGAGTCAATCATCCGGGCACCGCTCCAGCGTACATACGTACCCGACTACATTGAGACATCTGTATGCGCCCGCACTCGCGCCGACACGCACATGCATGCGCACAAACATGCAATGTGAGAGCAATGTTTATTGATGGCGTGTGGCCGGATTTGTCAGACTTGGAAAGGCTGTCCATCAGGTCACTGCGGTAGTCATTAGCAGCAGAGCGTGGTGCCAAAACTCCCTGAACTTCTTCCAGACAACGGCTCGAGCATATGCATACAAACTCCGCTGCCTCCCCAGAATTGTAAGTCAGGGGGTTTTTTTTGTTGTTGTTTTTGTTTGTTTTTTTTTTTATTCGATTCCCCGACACTCTCTTTCCTTCAGACGCGTAAACACACAAAGAGTACAGTCGGGTGTTTTTCTCCTCACTTTTATCCCTGCTCACTCTTCACTAGCCATCTTACTTATTCATGATGCGGCTGCGGCTGAGCTTTTTGCTCAGTTACCGTTTGTCATCTCCTCCATCACTTTCACCACGCACTGCTTTTTGACATGACCTGATTTTTCATGCATTTTGGCAATTTCAGCGAGGCTGCCTCAGAATACACTCTGGGTAATTTTGCTCTGCACATTATAAATCGCCGGATGGAATTCACGCGGGTTCTGCCGGGCTAAATTAGCCGCGATAGGAAGTGAGCAAAGCTGACACAATTTGCCGGGTTTTGAATTCGATTTTGCTCAATTTTATTCTCGCCGCTCATTTCTCATTCTATTTCCATCCCTCTTCTTTTTTTTTTTTTCTCTGCGTTACCTCTTCATCTATTGTTTTTCTCAGCTTGCCTTTCTTTGTTCGATTGGCCCGATAATCCTGTTACTGCACCCGCCACCCCTTTGCTCTTCATTTGCCCCTTGTCCACTGCTTCATCCTCCTCCTCGTCGTGACTCATCTTCTCATCTCCCTGTTTCTTCCCCTTCTAAACTCCCAGGGCCCAGACCAGTGTGTGAAATGCCTTCACTTCAAAGACGGGCCCAACTGTGTGGAGAAGTGCCCCGACGGACTGCAGGGCGCCAACAGCTTCATTTTCAAATACGCCAAGGCCAACAACGAGTGTCATCCCTGCCACGCCAACTGCACCCAGGGGTAAGAGAGGAAGGATGCGTGAAGATCGGCTTCATATGTCTGAAAGTTTATTCGTTTCTCTTATCTGTTCAACTGCTAGTCACTCTCAATATGTCGCCCTGGCCTTTCAAGACATCACAAAAGAGAAGTGCTTTTTCTCCGTTGACCTTAATGGAGCAAAACCGGATCAACTGTTAGCGGAGGGGCAGGTTGCAGACAAACAGCAGGAGGAGGGGGAGATATGAGCTGAGGAAACCATAAAGCAGACGGCTGGCTGCAGATAAATAAAGCGAAGGGACAATTGGACAGGAGCTGCATTCAGTCGGTTCAGAAGGGTCAGATTTAGCTCATTATCAGGTGTTATTGTTGCTGCAGGACTCATTTCTTATAGAGAAGACGAACCGGAATACTAAAGAGGAAGTGTTGTGCGTGATGTGAAGCCACATTCAATGTCCAGGTCTCACTAAACACGTGTGTTTGTGAGGACGACAACACCATTAAAGATTACCAGTGTGGACATTGTCTTTGATATTTTGAAATTGCCATTTGAAGTCAATTGTTGACATAAAAAATAAATAGCTACTGTTAATTCAGTGTCGTCGTTGGTGACCTTGTCAAAAGTTAGCTGGATGAAGACCATGTGAAACACATTTGTTGTCGAATTTGCTAGCTTAGATGACCTAGCTAGGTGCTATGATATGATAGCTTGCTGCTATGGTATGTTACTTTGGCGTTTTGGAAAGCTAGATTGGTGCTATGGTATGCTAGCTTGGTCTTATGTCTGCTAACCTGATATTATGGTACGTTAGCTTGATGTTGTGGTATATTAGCTAGGTGCTATAAAATACTAGTTTGGTGCTATAGTACCTTAGAATTGTGCTGCATCTACTCAGGTAAAATGCTCTTACTTGTTTTCATAAATATGCCAGATTTATGATGCTTAAGGCTCTGATTAGACTGAAGCTGCACTTAAAGCTTTTTTTTTTACTTTGTATAAAAGTATACGAAATGTTGATCAACTCAAAGGATTGTTCTCAGCTTCTTGAACATTTCATTAATGAAGGAAGAGCGCTAACTTCAACATGATTTGTAGCTAATCAGCCCGATTGCTAGGCTGTTCATTTGACGACGAGGCAGCTCTGACAGGGCCTCAGTTGTCGCCAGTTTAATTCCAGACTCAACCAGCTCTCCTCATTTTCTGGCCAATTTGTTGTGTTTTGTGTGCTCTAACGCAGTAATTCCAGAAACCTTCTCCTGCGTCCACCCTGCTGCTCAAAAGCCACAACACACGGATCGGGATTTAATGAGCAGTGACGAGTGCGCTCTAATCACTTCCTGCGCACCTGCTGTTCCCATCACTTTCCACTGAAACACCTTTCATCTGAACCACCCTCCAGCGGCAGAGGTTGCTGAGACAGATAGGAAATAACATGCACATCGCACACTTTTTCAAATTAAAACAGCTTTTCAGTAAAGGCTGATTATTTGGCAGTTTAATATTCATGAGGATTCATTTGGAGGATTCCCTTCCTTCCGCTACTTGATCAATACGGACTTTGCATTTACCTCCCTCTTAATATCCACTCCTCTTTGGATATTAAGGTCATTTCCTGAAATGTACGCAAGTTGAAACCGCAGCGGTTTGTCCAAACACCGAGCGCTTTCATCGAAACTTAACCTGAAGTCAGAGTTGCCAGGCAACACTCATTAAACACGCCTTAAAGCCGCGCCCGACCATTTTGAAATGGTTTGAACAGCAAACTTAAGGTGCCTGCCAGGAAAATAATAATAGTGTTTAACATGGGAGTATTGAGGAGCACTGTATGAAAATATTGTTATGCTCTGTAACTGGCTAATGATGTTGGAATATGATTTGTTCACATAATATTGAATGTATTTCATTATCTTTACGTTAAAGACCAAATTAGCTGAGATTGTCCAATAGGAATTCACCCTGAATACAGAGCACAACAATAAAATTCATTTTGAGGTAAAATCCCCGAATGCCAAGAAATGAACATGAAATTCCCTGATTGGCTCAAAAGCCAATCAGAATCAGCCATCATTGACACCGAGAACAAATCGCCGCAAACACAGGACTTTCACGCCTCCAGCGAGCTTTGAAGTGGGAGCCGTATTTCTGGGAACTTGAAGGAGGAAAAGCTGAGAGAGTGGATTTATCTGCAGTCGCCATGCGTCGTCACTCAGTAATATAAAACAGTGATTTAGAGCTTCTGATGTTTATTAAAAACTAGAAATACTGTCCTGCTTTGTGCATGGAGAGTAATCTCGACTGTTTCTGTGTTTTATTATTGTTATGTAATAAAGCATGGCGTAAAAGGAGCTAAATAAAGCGGCGGCGGCCAGCAGGCTGCAGTAAACCGTATCGCACCAGAACAGATGAGTCTCCATGCCACCTACACTGACCCGTCTGCACCTCCAACACGACCTCACACTGCGGATCGTTCAACCTCAAACCTGCTCTTCGGGAAAGGAGGATTCTATCACCTCCTTTCTGAATCCTCTACATACGTAGATGTAGCTGCGGAGGATATTTACATCCTCAGTTTCTTCTATTTCTGTGCTGCAGCTTTGCGTTGCTGACTGCATCTTGTGCGGCCACAAGCTTTGACATATCCCACCAAACAAAAGCATTGCCCTCCAGCCCAAACACCTCTTCCCTGATACCTTGACAAGTGGTCAGCCCTGCTTCCATTTTCCGCCCGGAGACGACTGATTGATGGGGAAGAAAGACAACATGAGGTCTGCTCACAACCTGTCCCTGATTTAATAGATGCTCTCTCTGGTTTCTCTACCCTGCAGGTGCATCGGGCCGCGGCTCCAGGACTGCGTGGGGATGATGGACAGGTGAGCCGTCTCCCGGTGCATTTTGGGAAGCGGGGACCTGTGGTGGGGACCACAGTCAGGTTCTGCCAGAACTCGTTAAAGTTCCTGTTAAAACCCGCTTCTCTAGATGCTCGTTAACAAGAGGCTTATGTGACCCAGAATTTGTGTGTGTGTGTGTGTGTTTGTGTGTGTGCGCGCGCGCTTGCACCAAACTTGTGGTCCAGTTAGGAAGTAGATGTCTTTCCGGATTTTCAAAACAAGCTTTTCTTTGAATAACGGTGCTTCCACAAGTGTTGTCTCCTGAATCTGATCATTTCTCACAATTTGAAATACGACCTTAAGCTGGAGACGTACTGCACACTGACATAGATCAGTTGTAGAAACAATGCTGATAGCTTGGATCACCCAATACAATGAAGACTGAATATTAACTACTTTCGGACTTCTGCTTTACAGTTATTTATGGATCGTCTTAACAATGGGGTTTGCCTAATCTAACATAGTATTGCATAAGTTGGCTTTAAATGTCTGCATCCATAAATCCATCTAAGAATGGATTTATGCAGACAGCAAAGGGTTAATATTATATACTAGTAAGTTGAAACTGATTGTTGTGTGCCTACTATTGTGGACAAAATTTAAAGAGCTACATAGAAAAAAGACAAATGTTTTTTTACATTTTGCTACATTGACACAAATGAAACCGTTCCCTCAGGTTGATTTTGTGGCGGCTCTTTTCTCCGAGTTCCTCCAACGCTATCATCCCATCGGTCTCATCCACTGACCCCGTGTCACTCTTCCTGCTGCAAACCCATTTCGTCCTAATTTCGGGAGTCTTTTCTCTCATCCAGCGATGCCTCAGCCTGTTATTCGATGTCTCGCTGTCAGCTCCGGTTGTTTTCTCCAAAACCCCTTCCACTCTTTCGTCGTAGATTTTACAGACAATTTTTGGGGGGGAAATTCCCCTTTCAAATCAATTCCCTCAAACGTCAGCGTTACTGCAGCACGTCGCTGCGTGTGTGACAAATTTCCGTTTCCCCCTCCCTTAAGTCCGCCACAATCGATGCGGCGCATGCGGCGGCACCTTGCTCCGCCGTACCAAAGCAGGACCCCCGGTCTTCCATTAGCCGCAAATGGCTTTTACAGCTGATAGACTTTTGAACTTTGAGTATCGAAGCAGGGAACGTTCCGGCATCGGAAAGGGGTGAATGTGGAGCAAACGGGAGGAAGCGAAGGGGAATCGCCGGGACAAAGAGTAATATAAGGGTGGGAATTAATGGTAGCTTAACAGTATCTACAAGTGCAGTTGCTATATAAATGGCAAACGCATTAGCAGTGTCATTAGGGATGACAGAGCGCTTTTAGCACCCAACCTTTTACTCTTCCCTACAGCTGGTTCTTCCTCGTGTGGCGGGAAAGCATTTTGAGAAGGAAAGGTACTTTTGATTACTGGATTATTAGAGTGTTTCTCCAGCTGAGGGCAAGAAAAATGACTGGAGTTTTAAGTTTTTAGCTCTCGACGTTTCCTGGTATTGATGAAGTCATAAAGAAGGGGAGAGCTGGGGTAATAAAAGCTGCTCCTCCTCCGCGGACGAAGGAACGAGAAACACACGGCATCAAACAGTTGCAGTCAAAAAGTTCCAGTGAAAGGTTCTAAGATAAATAAACCTTGTCTGCATTTTCTCAGACACAATCAAAGCTGAAAAAAGCCCAACTGATCAAACAGCTTGTTTGATTTAAGACAAAAAAAATAACTGAGCAAAATATCACCGAAGCACGTTTCCCTTCCTCTGGAACATCAGATTGAATGCACTTTAACTGGTAGACTGCAGTCCAAAAGCAAACTACTCTGCGAGTCCTTTTGATTTAGGCAGGAGAATCAAAGGAGGCGAACTTTTGGTCCAGGATCCTGTGAACCCCAATCCGTCACAACCGGATCTGAAGGACTTCTCGCCGCTGCAAACATTTACAAGCGGGCGGATTCTTGCCACAGGGCTGTGCTGCCTTAGTTTTCCCTTTGTGCTTCATTTGCCTTATCTTTGTTTGAATCCTTAAAAGACTAAAAGGAAAAATATTAAACTCATTTTAAATATTAATGGCGTGTTTTTAAGGCCGTTGGGGAATTGGCTTTTCAGCACAAAATAATTTCTCAGCAAGTTTCGAACAAGACGCGGAAAAAACCCCAACAAACCCTTTGAATCTTTGCGAGAAGCTCATTCTTAATGATTCTCTTGCAGAGTTAAATAGAGTAGGAAGTATTGCTAAATCAAAAATTAGCACAACAAAGAGCCGAATCGTGTTTTTAACTCTGACTGGTTGTACCTGCTTCTTAAACAACAGCGCTGACAGAAACGGGCATTTCCATTCGTCGACCGCAGTTGGACGTTGTTTGAAGACGTCCGGCTGCTCCGACAGTGTTTTTACCGTTCTCTCTCCAGGACGCCGCTGATAGCAGCCGGCATCATCGGGGGTCTGTTCATCGTCGTCATCCTGGCGCTGGGCGTGGCCGTTTACGTTCGACGCAAGAGCATCAAGAAGAAGAGAGCCTTGAGACGCTTCCTGGAGACCGAGGTGAGAGTCGAGTCCTTCCATCCGTCCCATCTCAGCATCGGGACCTTCTCACATCCTCAACACGTCCGCTTGTCCTTTAGAAAAACTAAAGCGAACAGCAAGTTATTAAAACTCCAAAGTTTTAATAAGGCGGAAAAAAACAAGCTGCTGTTTGGCCAAATGTAAACATTTAGTTTTATTTTTAGTTTGGATGTTTGCTTCTTTTTAATTGGGGCCTTTTCCCTCTTAACATCAGCAGACCTTCAGACATCCAACCTTGAGCAGGTGCTTATCCAAACTGTGTGAGCGTAGGATTTTATTTTTTATTTTTAAATTATGCATGTCTGCCATTGCTCATCGATCTGGCCTTGAAGACGGTTCATTTCTTGGAAGCCTCGGGCGGGCGGAGTGGACTTTATATTCACAGGAGAGAGTCAAACATGGCCGTGCCAGGGACTGTGGAGTCGGCTTGCGAGGCTTTCATCCTCTCGCGTCGCGCGGAGCCCCGGCAGTTATGTCATCGGTGTCGTCGCCGCGGCCCAGTCGGGGCAGGCCGCCTGTCGCTTTGCATTAGTGTAATTCACAGGTAGAAGGCTTGGCGTTATAGACAGCTGTCAGGGCGGAGACGCGGGAGGGGCGACCGCGGGGCACTTCCTGCCTCATCCCGGCCGCATGCATCCATCTTAATCAGCTCGGCTGTGTTCCGACAACAGCTTGACCTCGAGGGGAAGCGGGTCTGCTAATGCACTGTCACGGAGGAGGAGGAGGAGCTGGGAAGGTGCTGGCCGACAGGGATTCCTTTTGCTCCTTTTGCATCTTTCTCCCTTCATCTTGTCCTGAAACCGATTTAGATTTCCAAAGCACGGGCGTCCCTGTCCCTGTCCTCCCAGGATGCCTAATTGTGGTGTAAAAGCAATTAGGCCCAATCAAATCCTACAAGCTCTTGGTAGGTCAGCCTCGGGGTCGTACCACAGGTTTAATCATCTCGACGGCATGCATTGAGAGACATTAGTGTATAAATCCTTAATGTGTCCGGCCAATAGGAGCATTAAGAGAACAGGGAGGACGGGGAGTTGTGCCTGAAAGTGACCTGTCAGAGCTGCAGCCTGCGGCAAAAAGAAGGAATAATCTGTTCCAGACATCTCAGCAGAAGGAGGAATAGTCCAGATAGATCTGCTTCTCTGCTCACTTTCATTGTATCAAACCTGCAAAGGATTCATTCCACTAGAACTTTTCCACATTTTGTCACGTCACAACCACAGATCACATAAGCGGTGAACGCTGTGCACTGACAGCGCGGCTCATTTATTTATTTTTGCTTCGAGCTTCGAAGCCGTTTAGCCCACCTAGGTTATGTTTGCAGAAATATTTTTGAAGTCTTGAATCACTTGGTTGCTTTGTGAACATTTCTGTTGAACATAGTTCAACGTCTGAGTAGAAGTTGTGGTTCGTCACTTCTTAATAATTCAAGTAGTTTAAATTCATGCTGTCATAATGAAGCGGGCGGAGTGTAATATCCTTATTTATGGAACAAAGTTTCACTTTTCAGCCAACATTCAAAATACTGTGTGGCAGAAAACTTCACAGTTTTGGATAAATCAAATAATGTGAGAACTGCATTCTGGTTTCTGATGTGAAAGTGACAACAGCAGAGTTGAGCCATGTGTCCCAGACACCAGGCAGCGGTTGTTCTAGGAATGTATGAAATCATGCCTCACTTTTTGATTTCTGAAACCATTTATCGTCTTTCCTGCCAGCCCAAGTCTGCCCTATCACATTAACGTCTCGATAAAGCTCTGGAGTTTCTCAGCTATGATGCGGCTCACTGTGTGGGAACGAACGCGGTTTCTTCCTGAAAGGCCTCTCGGCGAGCGAGGGGCGGAGAAAGAAGCGCGGCCCGTGTCAGACGTTCCCGCGGCTCTTCTTTCAGCCTGACGGAGACGTGGGCTCTCTATTCAGACGTATACAATAGAGCTGACTCGGTGCTGGCGAATGGAGATCAAGCTTGTCTGGATGAGGGATTTTGGTGCGGCGAAGGCTCAGGGACACCCCCCCACCCACACACATCCCTCCATCCTCTCCTCCTCGTCTGCCGCGGCTGTTTGAAAGAGAGAGAGAGCGCACCTCTTGTGTCAGAGCGGGAAGAGATGCCTCCAGTTGTGCGCTGTCAGAACACGATCTGAGCATATTTCCATATCAAGGACACGTGCGAAGGCTGTGTCAGTGTTGACTTGCAAAACACACTCCTAAAACCTCTCTTTGTTGTTTTTTTTTCTCCCCTCCTCCCTTTCTTAGTCTCTCTCTTTTTTTCTTTCTGTCTTTCACCTCGGAACAGAGAGACACCCAGAGCCCCGTTTGAAAACGTCTCATCCTGTTGTATCTTTGTAAGGAAGGCCTCCTGAAAACAAATTGCTTTTCTCCCTGGAAAGAACGCGGCAAGCAGCCGCCTCGCCGCTGCGAGCTCTGAACTTTGACCCCTGTACAATGAAGCGGGACTAATGCGCTCAGAATTGCCCTCTCCTTACTTCCTCAAGGTCCTCCTCCTCCTCTTTAGCTGCTTTGTGTTCAGACCGGGGATGTGGACAGCTGTAGCACTGCTTACATGGATTCCCAATGTTTAGGGACAATGGACAGGATCCTGTTTGATGGACAGTGTCCTCCGTCTGCAGTCTTACTGAATTGTAAATAGACTCGTGACCAGATGCAGATCAGTAGCTAAAGCTGGGGGTGTAAACCGAAAACTCACAAGACAAGACGAGACACATGTTGTTTCTTTTAACTCTTCAGACACCAGGAGAGGGTTTTCAACCAACCATCCTCTGTTGGTATTTATCGGTTCTACCGGAAGCCTGAAATGCTGCCAAGCAAATGCTTCAAGAGTAGTTGGGGCAACTTCTACTGCGACTTCGTCAGCCGACGCCATGCCGACCACTACCGGGTAGTTCTCACGATTTGGCAGTCTTATTGTATGACGAGATCTTGACAAATGCCAATCTGGGGCAGATGGGTATGTGACGGGAGGAAGCTGACACTGAACCGACGAGCTTCCAACTGCGAGACCGCTACCCGCTGAGACGCCGCCGCCCCGCTGCCTTAAGGACCCGACACATGAAGAAAGGATGTTTCTCCTTTTCCATTTTATTTCCTGGGCAACGTCAATGCAGAGACGATTGCTTGTCGTCCTCCAGTCAATCAGTCGGGGATGTTTATCCATGTGAACATTTTAAAGTGACACAAGAAAGTTCACACTATTTCTGACTAGATGTGGAAATGAACTGGAGACCTCACAGTTGGACTTCTGCCATCTTTGCCAGCTGAGAGACACCAAATGTATGAATCCGTTCATTTTTTTTTTAATGTTCTCGCTGTTTTTTTTGCTGTCGTTTTGATTCGCTCGGGAGGCTTAGAAAGATTAAATCCACAACAAAATTTGCGCAGCTCGGCTTTGGACACATCCTGTCAGCATTACGTCGAACGCGTGTGAAGAGGGCGACTTAGTGAGTCCACTTGAAAGCTGCAGCGAGGTGCCGTCGCTCAGCCGGACCTCCGGAGCTGAGCGACGTGACTCGTGCTCAACAGCAGATGTTTTTCTTTTGTGAAAACAGAACTACAATAAAACAAAGGCAGCGTCTGGATGTTTTGACGAACAGCTGCGTTGCTTCCACCCTGCTATGTTGGAAAAATCTGGAAATTGGCTTCACATTTACCGTTATTCTTACAATTTGTAGCTTTCATTTGAAACAGAAACTGCCATTTATCACAATAATAAATTATATCATAGATATCTTTGTATCTATGTCATCAATCAGAATATCAGGGAATAAATGTGACATATTAGACATTTCTGGTTCAAAAACAATCCCATAACTTTTCAGCTACTGTTCTAACTTCCTGCTGGGGTTGGCTGTGTGACATTGCTTCATTTATGCACAATCCATTTCATTTTAGCCTGATTATTAAAAGTACCGTTGCTGAAACATTTTTCGATCGTAACCGTCATTTAATAATCATTTTAGTAAATACAGCTGTGTTTGAATGCTTTCCCTGAATGCTAGTTTTATTCCAAACGGATCATAACTAATATTACTCTTTGCTCCCAGCTGCTGGCTGAAAGGTTTCTCCGTGACAAAGCTGCTTCACTTCAGTGTGTTTCAATTACGAAGCATGACAACGGCAGCATTTCTGAGCGGCTAATGTGAACATTAAAGTATCCACCCGAGGGGCTTTCAGAGCAACTTGATGTTTGAAGACACTGTTTACTTCTCCGGCGCTCGGTAATTCTGGGAATGTATGCTGGCCGGGAGGCTCAAACGCGGCGCTTATTTGTCCAATGTAGCGTCGGCGTCCTGTCCGCGGCGCCACCGGTGCAGCTCATTTGGCGGCGGCACTGCGCGTTATTAGCTGGTAAATAAAGTGGCGTGGCGAGAGCGCGGGCGAGAGAGACCTCAGGAGAGTTTTACTGGCCTTATATGGATTTAGTAGAGCTCTCCTCTCGGTCCAGTCCAGCCTTGTCCTAATGAAACAATAACAGCTACAGCCTGTCACCATCTGCTCTTATTACCGCCCCTCCCAACCCCCCTCTTCTCCTTCCTGCAACCCTTTTCAGTCTCATCCCTTCCTGTCGGAGCTCCTCCATCACTTTCCACCTTCAGCTGCGCTCGTTTCCATTGCAGCCGTGCAAAAACGCTCACAAACACACAGATGACAATCATTCGCTTCGCTGACGCAGCCTCATACGATGATGCGAGGAATAAAAAAATACAGGTTACTTGATGGGGCGTGCATAAGACTGACATTACAGACAGGATCTCCAGCAGTAGTCGGTGTTCCAACGGCTCTGAGGAGGCCTCTGACTGAAGACTGTTGCTGATTACAGTCTCATGAGCGTCATGACACGCTAACGGCTCAGTATCCGGGCAGCAGACATTATATTCCACACTGACGATGTCATGATGACATCACCGGCTGCTAGCTAGCTCGCTCTGCTGATCCACCTGGTTTTGCCACTCCTCTTCAAATCTCTGCCTGTTGGTGTGATTGGATCCTCCTCGACCTCCTCTGGGATGTGGGGGTCAAAGTTCACATACTATTGGAGCATCTGAGAAGCTAATCATCTGCCTCCTGATGACATTACAAAAAAAAAAAAAGGAGAAGAGCAAGCGTCCTTCGAGACGCGCAGCATCCAGGACCAGAGGGAATATTTGTCTGAAGAAGCGAAATTGTAAACTTTGTCAAATCAAACTGCAAATTTATGCAACTTTTGGCTGCTTATTCCCTCCATACAGATCAACGCTGAACAAACATTCAGCTGCATAAACATACGACTGCATGAATATGGAAGATGACCATGATTAGAATTAGATTTAAGTGAGTAAAAACTTATATTCATATAAGCCTAATAAATTCTTTATATTAACCAACCTACACACACACACACACACACACACACACTCACACACACTACCGCTTATACAATATGCATGCATAGATAACAGCTAATCTGCATTGAAATGCCCTGTATGTTGCTTATGTTTGCATTCCAATGAGAATGAACTTTTGTTCAACTGTTGACATTTTAAAGATTTGAATATCTTTTTATATTTCATCAACAAGCAGTGAGAGTTTCTCCAACCAGTCCGACTGAAGCTCCTCTGCTTCCCTTGACATCCGTCAACGTTTTCCTTTGGACCAGACGGCGCCAACACATTTCAGCATTTCGTATTGAGACACCAAGAATCCAGCCGACGCTTTCGGGGAGACCGTTTGGGGTTAGATGTTGCTGCAGATTTTTTAAGACAACGCTGTCAGGTTCTGCTCATATTCATTAAAGGTCATATTTATAATAAAATATCAGGTAACGGAGTGAAAATTGCTGGATTACGTCAAACCGATTCTCAAATGAAAACTTTGAGAATTGAAGCCAAATTGTGATTTCATTGAAATTTATATCAAAATAGAATCTGACAAGTGGTGGGGGGAGGGGTTGTGTTGATTCACAGCTTGGTTGCCCTAGTGACATGGGTCTGGACCAGTGAGCGCGCGCCGTGGTCGGGCCGAGCCGAGCGGCTGATCTATGGCCTCATTAGAATGTTGGATGGCCTGCGGTCTGCTGGTGATTATGCCGCTGATGGAGCGCGCCACTGCAGGGACTCGATAGGCTGATCGCTCATTAAGACGCGTATCGATCAGAGCCATCGACGCCCCGGGCCGCCGTGTGAACAGGTGCGTTGCGCTCTGGCGGCTCCGCGCTCCTCTCACACCGGGGGCGGAGCAGGCGGCCTGTTAAAACCCTGACCAGAACGTTTTCTGTGAGCACAGCTGCCGGGCTCATCAGACGACACCAGATGTCTTTAAAATCTTTTTGTTCTCGTCTTCCACTGTCGGCCGTTTCGACAAATTCATCACCTGAAGCGAACTCTGCATCTTTATACTGCAGGATTTCTGTTCGAAAGAAGAGAACGTGACTCTGGCTCCTCCTGAGCCTGAACTCTACCTGCTTCTGGATCAAGAAAAGACAAAGTGTGAAACGTGCCTGCTGCTGTTTTAATTCATTATGTTTAATAGAGCAGAGAAGCCTCGACCTTCACTCAGTTCATCTGCTACACACGGTCCATTTTCCAAGAACCAATCACTGCAGGGGAAAAAAGTTAGCTCTCGTCTTCAAAAGCATTTGTTTGCTTTGGTTTTGACTATGACTGTTGGTTCCAGGTTTTAGGAGTCCGATAGCGGACAACCTCTGTGTCCACAGGGACCACAACCACTACTCAACACATAGAGATGCATATTTTCATAGTTCAAAAACCAAATATGCATTAATATGCTTCAATAGGCACAGTGGAAATGCCTACAATATTTCCCATTTTTGCTTTTAGGGTTTCAGCCAATCAGAGTCAAGGAAAATGAATGGTGTTTATCGATTGGCTGCTTTGCGAACACCAACCAGTAGCATTGCTCCACTGTTGTTTTAGTGTCAAAGAAATCTCCAAATAGACACATTTTAGGTTAATAATTTGGTGTTAAGCTACAGAGGAATAATGGTGGAAAGAAGAACCGTCTCCATGTCAACGTCTACTTCCTGTTTGTTGCAGCCCTGCGTAGCGTCGACGTCTGTCGAAGTTAGCTTGGACTATTCGCTCCAAATTAGAAAGAGACACGCCTAGCTCAAGTTTTGTATTTTGCAACATTTTAAAAAGTTTACTCAAACTTCACATAACCATCAAGGAAAATCTGGCCAATGACGGCGTCTGTAAGTTTAGCTGAAGAACTGTGATTGGCTGAGCTCAGGTGTTTCTACTAGAATATACAATCTGATCAGAAATGAATTGTTCCTGTTTGTCTTCCCTGCTAAAGTAAGGAGTGTGTTGTGTGTGTGTGTGTGTTGTCCAGCTGGTGGAGCCTCTCACCCCCAGTGGCACCGCCCCCAACCAGGCTCAGTTGCGCATCCTGAAGGAGACGGAGCTGAAGAGGGTCAAGATCCTGGGCTCTGGAGCGTTTGGAACTGTCTATAAGGTCAGAGGTCATCCGGCTGCATTTTGTTCCATCTGAATTTGAATAACATTAAAATGTGAATATTATAAGTACAGAATAAAACAACGACAACAAAAAAGTTTGCGATCAAGAATAAATGACATTTACATTCACAATTCAGTTCAGACTTTCGTATCAGAAAACATGGAGAGCAGCCATTAAACGCCCCTTGTCCCACCGCTGAGTGTGTCAGGGTCAAGGTGTGTGTTCCTGAGGACAAGCGGCTGCGTCTTCATGTCCGCCGCTCGTTTGTTTCAGGGCATCTGGGTCCCGGAGGGCGAGACGGTGAAGATCCCCGTCGCCATAAAGATTCTGAGCGAGGCCACGGGTCCCAAGGCCAACGTGGAGTTTATGGACGTGAGTATTTCCGTCTCTCTGGGTCGTCGTGGTTCAGTTGCCAGCAACTTCTCACGAGTCTGAGTCTGAGCTGGTAATAAAGAGAAACTCACAGCGGCGTGCAGCCAGCACGTATTGAACAAGACTCTATTAAAGAAAAACAGCTCCTGGCTTATGAGATATGGCTTTATTGGAGTCCAGAGTGATGGAGGGAAGTGGAAGAAGGAAGTAAGCGGTGGAGTTTCTGTCAGCTTCACTCCATCAGCCACGCCAGGTTTGACCTCTGAGGCCATTTCGCTTAAACATCGTCACATCATTCAGAACCGGAGAGACACTTTGATTCTCCTCCTTCTCAGTGGTTCTGCTGCTTATCATTCTAGTGCCAATAAACCCATTTGCACCCTTTTCTAGACTTCAGTTCATGATGTTTTGGTTGATTTTTTTTTTCTTTTCTTTTTGGGACAGGGACGGAGTTAGGGGTAACTCAAAAATAAGTCCAGTATTTTTGTATGGCACTGAATTCAACTGAACGAAAAGGGACTCTGTTCAACTGTTTTTGCCTGCTGCATCACCTGTGATTCAGTCTCATCACCTTTTCCAGATAATAGATCCATTAGTCGTACTGAATGTCTCACTAAGAGGCTGTCTTGGTGACATTTAGGAGCTTCACAAAACACACTGAGCGTCCAGCCTCCTGAAAGCAAAGTGTGGCGAATTTGTCACGTGGCAGCCATCGTTCGCCATCTGCTTGGAGGGTTTTATGCAAAAGAGGAGATGCAGTTGCAAATATTCCCAAATCAATGTAATTTAAAAAATAAAAATAAAAAAGGCTTTAAAAATTAGAGACTTATTTCAGTGAATCGATTCAAACAGTAGAAATGATTCTGAAGATTCCATCCATGCATATTAATGGAAAGTTAAGTGGAAGGAAAAAGTATCAGAAAAAAAGCTTCCAAACATGAATGAATGTGGCATGTAACTAACTGAAACTCAAATTCACTTTTTCTGTTAATAAAAAAAAACGAGTGATGAAAAGTTTAGTGGAAAGAAACACTGCAACCTTCTTTGTATAAAATGCCAATTGTCTGAGACACCTTAGAGACGACGCAAGGACTCAGGGCCAGAACAGCAGCAACAAGTTGTGATGCCAGCCTGAAACATGAAAGTATTCATCAGTTTATTTATTCACTTTTTGAACTTAAATATTGAAATACATCAACTTTTCCACAGCATTTCTATATATAGAAGCCCCAGTATGTCTGTTCTTTCCTATAGAACCTTTTTTTTGTGATCCCAGCATCTTTCCTTCTTCCTCTGTTTCCTTTTCCCAGGGTGTGTGTGTGTGTGTGTGGGTGTGTGGGGGGGCGGGATCTGTCCATCCAGAGCCAATATGCTCTGTCTGTTGGCTTGTTAAACAGCAATCTAAAGGCAGGCTCACACTTCGCCACTGAGAAACTGGCCACTGGAGTGCCGACTCCAGGGCACACTCAGAAAATCCACAAAAACGCGTACCCACACATTGACGCACGCACACACACACACACACACACATGCAGAGAGCAGATTCTTCATAGAATGAAGCCTCTGCAGGGTTTGGATGTGAAGAATGTGGGGCGAAGATTCTCTTGTGTTGGCAAATATGAATCAGAGCTGATTATTTGACATGTGAAATCCCTTCATTTAGGATGCCCCTATGCATGCGTGCACTTGCTGAAATATGCACCAGTTTTGCAAAGCTCTGCAAGTCTATCACTCAGCGTATGTGGCCTAAGTGCGTGTGTTTGTGTGTGTGTGCGTTTGAGGGGAAGCAAGCAAGGGAGCAGGATGGTGAAAGTCGGGTCAGCTGGCAGTAATGGAGGTCAGCGCTGAGGGAGATGAGAGAGAAACCAAAACACACACACAGACACAAAAAAGTCACACACACTCGCAGGAGTCCTCAAACATTTGCCCGGAGCGTACAGAAGGTTCAGCCGGACTTAGTTTATGACTCCAGGGCCTCTTGGGATGACAGCGAAAGAATTAAAGCATTCAGATTCCCTTTTATCTTCCTCTGCTGAGCTGATGCCTGGCTCACGGAGTGGAGTTGTTGATAGAAAGTGTGTTAGTTATCTGCATAAAGCATGGAGTCGTCGCCGTAAAGAGTGTAGTTGTCTCCGTAAATCACGTCCATCTCTGGATAAAGTATGTAGTGGTCTACTCAAAGCCTTGAGTCGTTGGCATAAAGTGTGTAGTCATCAGTGTCGAATCATCACTGTAAAGCGTAGTCACAGGTGTAGTCACCTGTTGTTGGTGTAAAGCGTGTCCTCAGCATACAGCAGGTGGTTGGTGGCGTCAACATGAAGGTGTCGGCATAAAGACTGCAGTCATTGGCATATAGATTGTAGTGTAAAGTGTGGAGTCATCGGCCTTGGTTGTCATGATGCTACTTTTAACTGGAAGCCTCTAATGTTGCCATAAACGTCTTTATGCAGCCTGTTAGTTTTAATCTACTCCACTCTCCTTCTAACATTCATTTTCTGAATATAAATTTTCAAAGGGACCTCGTGTTTGTGTCCTCTGCCCTGAGGGCCAAGCCCGCATCCACATACGCCTCTCCTTGACCACTTGCCATATGCAAAGAAAGCCAGTGTGAGTCCTTGAGCCGAGCAGAGAGCTACTGAGGGACTGCGCCTCCATGCTTGAATCTAAGCGGGAGAGCGAGAGAGGCGAAGGGAGATGAGAGCGAATGAACGGACGAACGAACGGAGTGCTTTCCACCGACCACTGCAATCGCAGCTTCTGCCACAAGTACCCGTCCGCGCAATCATAACACTTCATCACCGCCACGCGTCCTTCTGCTTTGCAGCTCCGCAATAACAATTACCCAACACTGAGCCCCAACTGTTCAAACCTCTACGTCCATCTGCTTCTGAGAGGGATGGAGGGAGGGAGGGAGGGAGGGAGGGAGGGAGGGAGGGAGGGAGGGAGGGAGGGAGGGAGGGAGGTTAGGGAGGGAGGGTATTGGTGGGAAAAACACATTTGCACAAGAGTGAAGGAGATGAGACGGAACAGGAGTTAGTGTCATACAATAGTGCAAATATTGAGTCCAAGCAGTTGTGATGTGTTCTGATTACTGATGTCGATTCCATTTTGACCCAGTCCTATTTAGTCCAACGCAACCCATCCTGAAATGCATAAAAGGTCCACTGCTGTCCACTTAGTCCCTCTCTGTGTCCTCACCCCCCTCTCACCCAGGAGGCGCTGATCATGGCCAGCATGGAGCACCCCCACCTGGTGCGCCTCCTCGGCGTGTGCCTGAGCCCCACCATCCAGCTGGTCACTCAGCTCATGCCCCACGGCTGTCTCCTGGACTACGTCCACGAGCACAAGGACAACATCGGATCGCAGCTGCTGCTCAACTGGTGCGTCCAGATCGCAAAGGTAAGCGGACGCCGTCGGGTTATAGCAACGCTCTCCTGCACTGCTGCGGATGGGTCATATGGACCTGTGTTGATTTAACGTAGAAGAGTAAACATCAATGTGATTGATGGCAACATGTAGTGGGTTTCCACCTCCAGACTGACTGAAAACACTTTTGATATTCCTGTTTTCAAAGTGTATCATCCATTCTTTAGTGTTTTAAATGTCCCTAGCATAAAAGCTCTGCTTTTCCTCAAATTTCAAACCTTTCCTTACCTTATAATGCAGGTTACTTTCATTCCGAATTTTCCTCTTCATTCTCATTATTGTGCTGAAACCCTTCCACTGACCTCCTGTCAGTGATGTGAAGCAGTAGACACGCCTTGCCGACTTAAACTCTGTCCTCTGAGCTCGTCTCATTACTCTCAGAGTCTTAACGACTGCAGGAAATGTTCGAGTTAAGGGCCTATCGGCTCCAGAACAAACAAAATCTGCTCTCGCTGTCTTGTGTGCTTTTGCTTTTCCAAAGAACATTTGGGTTGTGTTTGCTAATTACACCACTGTTGCCAGACTGCGTGGTTCTGCGTAACTTCAATAGGTTATGAGTTATGTTACGCCGGGCGACTGTGGTTCAGTGTGTAGGGTAGTCGACTTACAGTCTGAGGGTTGGAAGTTCGATTCCAACTTCCTCCTGTCACATAACCCCAAGTTGTTCTCCACAGTTATGATGTTATTGACTCGCTTGGCTGATTAATGGAAATCTATAGAAGTAACAAACATGGATGCCGCATTTCATTTCCAACAATGAAATGCGTTGTTGGTGTTCTGGAATCTGGCATGTGGGAGATTCCTGATTGCGTTGGTATCAGTTGTTGGCCTGCCTGGTCAAAGTTGGTGGCAGACAGATGGTTCATTTCCTCACCTGCCAAGCGTTTTCAGAGTCTCTTTTCCTTTTCCTCACATTTTCCGCGATTGGGTTCCCAGATGGTCGTCCAGCACAAACCATCTGGCACTCCGGGGTTGGTCAAATGCTGGTTTAAACCGCTAATCTGCAGCCGAAACTCAAAACTACACAGAGCTACTGTAAGTCCCGTCATTGCAGGTATATAAACCAGGTAATACACTTGAAAAGGCTTAACAGAGATTATTTAGAGGGTGGCCTGTTTCGTAGGCCTCCTTCATCAGGAGATCGGTTGGGATTGATCAGCCCGGGTCGTTAAGAGCGCTGTACTCTTGTTTCGTTTAGCCAACAGTCACTTGTCAGCAATAGGAGGTCAGTGGGGGAGAAATTGGGGGGATTAACCCTTCATCCCACCATGATGGATGATTCTGGAGGTTTTAACTCGATAGGAAAACGTTGATACCCGAGGTAGAGGTCTGGCCTGGACTCGACCAGGCGGTTCAATAAACCGGCTGATTGTGATTGAAGGCAATCTGCTGCAATTCACGCTTGAACTGACTGAAAATGACAAACTGATATATTTTCAGACTCTTTGGGGCACTGTTAGCCTGCAGCGGGACGCGGCTTCCTAATTAATGGGTTTAATGACATGTTGATATATTACGTTGGTGTACAATATCCTGAGATTGGTTTTCACCAACATAATTTGTTTCGTTCGATTGAATCATCTATTTATGAAAAAATATGCTATTAAAAATGTATTACTGAAATTGAGGCTTGAGAAAAATAATATTACAAGTTGGCTAGTTTATGATCTTATAATTATGTCTAATATTATGACTATTTTAATATTTCAATCTGTTCATATCAACTCAGAACAAGATTACATCTCAAGATCATAAAATAATTACATGTGTCTGAAGATAAACTAGAGATAATTTATACAACTATTTAATCATATTTAGCGTCAAACGGAGATTAAAGTTTGGGTCACATGACTTTACCACTTGGTGCGATTGGACGTTCTGGTCGCTGCGGCCGGGTAAGCTGATGACTGCTCTCAGCCTCACCACAGAGCCCCTGTTTTAACTCCACGCATCCTGCTGCTGCTGCGTCGGAGTAAAACATCGGGAATTTCCTTCCCATATTTCCTGAATGACGAATCCCGGCTGCAGCAGGAAGTCCGTTTAGCAAGATGGCTGGCAGTTGAAATGTTCCCAGCAGGAAGCCGGGTCGCCTCCATTTGTCTGCCGGATCCTCCTTACAGGTTCCTCATCGCTTCGCTCCGGGATATTTATTCACCCCGAGAAAAGGACATCCTTTCTCCGTGGTGTGTCCCAGAGCGTTTTTCGTCAGCGTGTGCGCGTATTCGAGCACGCGAGCCGAATAAATAACCGCCGGCTTCGTCTCTGAATGATCTCTGCGCTCTCGAGGTAATGACGGGGAACCTCTCTCCAGCAGCGAGAGCATTCTTCACGAGATGCACAATTTTCTGGCTAAGGGGAGAATAATTTGCTTTGCTCTTCAGTTAGCTTTGGAAAAGGCTGCAGCAGAGATGGAGGAGGGAACCCGGAGAGCAACGGAGGTCGTGTGTTCGATTCTGTTCGCCTGTACATGCAGCAGGAAATTATTTGTTACCATAAGTTATGGATTTTACTAAGTAAAAGTTTCTGAAACAAAAAAAAAAAGAAAATTTTCCCGTCTGTCATTGGTTTTAATTGGGGGATTTTTCTTTCGATTAAAAAGTTTTTATTGTGATTCTTTGCTGATTTGTTTGTATTTAGTCACACTTTCTGTGTGTGTGTTTTCTGCTTTCTGCTGTAAATGTCATGGCAACCGCAGCCCACCCCCCTGCCCCCCCTCCTGTATAACAGCGGCCGTATGTGGGCTGTGACCCGGGCAGGTGACTGCAGAGCCACAAATTGATTGGCCGAGGCCTGTCGCCAGGCACCGACTCTTCATCACTGAGTGTTTTGGGCATTGAGATAATGGCCGCCATTAATCTCGAGCCACACTCAGGGCGGTTCACACACACCGACACACACGCAGACACGCATACCTAGCACCAAGCTTGCTCCAGATGCAGCTTCTCTATTTGCTATCCTGGATCTCTCCTTCCTTCTTGCCCTCCTTTCATGTCTTTCTGGTTTGTTTCTCTCTTTTTTTTTTGTCTCTTATTGATTCTAAATTTGTAGAAATATTCATAAATCTTTTATTTTGTCACCTTACCACTATGTAGATCTGAAGTGGGGGAAAAGGTCAAATTTTTCACTTTTGGATAAAGCTAAGACATACTGAAATCTGAAAAGTGTGGCATGATGGATTCACAGCAGAGCCTTCTGTTGTTGTCGTTTCAGCTGCAGATATTATGGGATTCGTCACACATTATTGCTGCCCTTCATTTTATGCAAGATGAATCAGGCTCACTTCAAAAGTCTTGCCACAGATAAATTTTGGACTTTGACTAGACCATTCTGACACACGTGACAGAAACTCAGCGCTCCGTCGGATGAAAACAGATCCGGTCCAGACGGCCAGCTCTGAACCAGAACCAGGACCCCCAACTGGCTCTAAGCTGGAAGCGGCCGGGCTTTGAATAGGCCGCTATTAGCCGGCTGCTGCCGGTTTCAGACAGTAATGATGAAGGCGACTCTGACCTCAGAGTTTCTGCTGATGCTGAGCTCAGAATCCCACCTCATCTCCTGCTGCTGCTTAGTAAGGAGAACGGAGAGATTTCAGATTTTCCTACTGATCTCTGGCTCTGGGAGTGTGTTAATATTCTGCACATCAGTAAGCGTGTTTGTGTGTGCGTGTGTGTGTGTGTGTTGAGATTTGCATCCCGCGGTGTTTCCCGCCCTGATCCGGCGGAGCTCAGAGGAAGACCTCGGTGTCGCTCACTTCCCCACAGTGTCGGGTTTTGGTGCTGAGCAAACACTAATCTCACCTGCTCTCATTAAACAGGCCTTCACTCTTCTTCCTCTTCCTCCTCATCCTCCTCTTCCTCCAGGAGGATGACTTCTGTCCTTTGGATCAAACCATCAGGAGGAAGAACACTGCCGTTCATCATCCTGATCTCTCATAGATCTACAGATCTGCATCTGAAGAGTGTTTTTGCAGGTTTTACTTGAAATTCTGTCCTAAACAAAGAGGCAAGAAAAATGTTTTTTTTTCTATTTACATTTTTTCCTTGAATTTGACATCGAGACCAGGACTTTTGTGATCATGACTCCTAAACAATCAGGAATGAATCTCATGGTGAAGCTGCAGTCTGGCTTCATGTCGCTCTCGTGTCTCTCTGGGTTATGACATCAGCAGTCAGAGTGATTGTATCAAATATCATTTTCGGCAGGATTCCCACTCTGTATCATGACTCGCCCTCCTCCGTGCTTCACAGTTGGTGTCAGGTTCTTCTGCTGGAGTGCTGAATTTATCGGATGTGATTCCGGATGATCCATTGAGCTTTGATTTTTTCTCTATGGATTCATAGCTGTCAGCAGGCTGGCCGTGTTTCCGTGTTATTAATAATGCAGACTCGCAGCGTCACGCCGGACGACCAAAAGCTGCCGCCGAAAAAGCCGCTTTCCGTGACGACCCGCGAAACAAAAGCAGCTAGAGTGGTCGAAGTGGGACCTCTGGAGGATTTCATGTCTCTGCTGACGCTGCAGAAAGAATGCGAGTGTGTGTGTTGGTGTGTGTGTGAGTTAAAGGAGGAGAGATAATCCTCTAGGGTCGTTCTAATTATCTGTGAGGATCAGCGGGGGAGGAAGGGGTGGTGGGTTGCAGGGCGACTGCCTGATCCAGTGGATATAAAGGCCTGATCGGATCACTCCTCATCAGTCCCATCATGGCGTTTCTGTGGATTCGCCAACAAACACAAACAAATTCGATTCACTCGGTCAAGTTTTCCAAACAGCCGATTAGGAACAGGATGGACCCGAGCTCCACGAATCCATTTCTGCTCCCAGAGTTGGACCTTCAGCAGCCGTCACGTCAGACTGGAGACAATCGGGACTCGTTTCCACGCCGGTTTTTTTTTTTTTTTTTTGAAAGACAATTATTTTGTTCCCAGACGCCTCATAAATCATTTTATCTGTTGTTTCTGTTGTTTTGATTATTCATT